ACAGTGAAAACTCCCAAATGCATAAAATCTCGTCTCCCCTTTCAGACTGTACCGTCAGTGTTCTGCACAGGTTCATCGAGGGCTCACTGTATAGGCTGTTTCAGATTCGCAAGGACAAGTGGTCATTATGTACGGAAATGAGGCCCTATTGTTGGGTCGCCTTCAGATTTATTCGGTTTAGCCATTTTATTTTTCATGCTTTTGGTTAGCATACAAATGAACGGGTTTCATGATGACATTTACACTGAAATATATCAGTGCATTTTGCTTGTATTGATTCCCAATTACCCTCGCTCATCCCTCTAATCCCCCCAACTGATCTTTTTCCTAGGACCAAACAGTTCTCCTTCTGCTTTGAGTGTGTGTGCTGCGTGCACAATTAAATCTAGATTCAATGTATAAGAGAGCTTGTGATAGTTTATCTTCTTTCTGCCATTACCCCCCCTTGTTCCCCCTCTTTTTAGAGCCCCCCACCCGTTTCCTGCCTTATGGGTACTTTTTACTCTCCTGTCCTATATGTTTAGCTATTTTAAATCTCTGCATGGCCAGGTGTCATGGCTCACCTTTAGTCCCAGCGCTTAGAAGGCAGAGGCAGGTGGATCTCTGTGAGTTCGAGGCTAGCCTGGTCTGCATAGCAAGTTCCAGGTCAGCTGGGGCTACAGAGAAACCCTGTCTCAAGAAAAACAAAATAAAACAAAACAAAAAACCAAAATCAAAACAAAACTACCAAATAAAAATCGTGGCAAGGCTAGATGTAGCTCAGTGGTAGAGAGTTTGTTAGCACATACACAATCCCCAGCTTCATCCCCAGCATTACAATAAAATAAAATAGTGAAATAATGGTATGGGGAGTTTTTGGTGTTAGATCGTACACCCATTCTGAGATGGTTCATTCAGGAACTATAGGTTCATTGTGCTCACCATGGGACACTGGTAGATAAGCCAGACCCAATCCCTTCACATGAATATGGATGTAAATAACCTTAATCCAAAGCAGGTTATAGCCCCTGACAGCTGACACCTAGGACTGGAATGCAAAAGAGTTTTGCTCAGGCTTAATGGGATTTTAAGAGAAAATCCCAGACTTTGTACCCACAGTGCAGGGTAAGGCAAGGAATGGCAGACCAACTGAGGGGATTGGTGTGCGTAGGTGATCTGTGCTAGCTGGCAGGTGTTACCTAAGGATCAGGTGGGATTCATTGGAGGTGCTGGGTCAGTAGACTGCCGGTGTTTGTGAGGAGCACCGTGTGGAGGAACAGAAGGAACATCTGCTGGGGACCCAAACTGGTGTTAACTAGGAGCAACCCTGGCTCACATGGCCAGCCTCCACCTTGTTCATTTCAGGGGCAGCTCAGGGTTCTTGTGGGCTCTGCTGATACTAGAGGCTATGAGCCTTTCACTGGGGGCTTGGGTCCATTCAAATCAGACTTTGCTTTGGGTCACACCTTCTCTGTGCACTTTGAGAAATTCTTGTGGAGGGCCTTGAACCTGAGCGTGCAGATCGAAGTTACCCTTCTCCCAAGTAGAAGGTTGTGTGCCAAATGGGCATCGCTACCAGCCTACTGCTCCCCGAAGCACAGGTCAAGCCTGCTTACTCCCTGTTGGTTTCCAGCTTCAGGCATTTTAGGATTGACAAGCGTGCCAGTTGGAAGCGTCAGGAGAGGTGCTGGTATGAGTGCTGGCTGCCTGGGGTCTCTCTGCAGCCCCTCACCTCATGTGGTCCTTTCTAGTCCCCACAGGTGCCATGATGCAACAGCTCCAAGGGGACTTTGACCGGAGTGTGGATGATGCCCAGGCATGGATGAAGGAGGTGCAGGAGCAGCTGCAGATCAATGACAACACACAGGGGCCCCGAGCAGCCCTGGAGGCCAGGCTGCGGGAGACAGAGGTATGCAAAGTTCTGGCTTGGCAGGTGCTGGACCATGGCCATGTCCATGTGTCACCTCCCCCCCCCCCAAGCCCAAACATCTCCAGAGCTGGGACTCATCTCTATTCATCCTCCTGGTGCAAGGCAGAGTCTTAGTTCATGTAACATTAACCAGAAATGCCAGTGCCCGGTGCTTGGCATGGTACCATGGTGACCCTGTATGAACATGAGCTGCCTGAAGCCAGGGGACAGGAGCCAAAAAGAAATAGTTGGAGACCTCAATTATGATTTCCATGCTGATCCCACAGTGCCCAGTGACATTGGTCATGTCCACGTCCCTCTCTGGGCCTTATTTTTCCTATCTCTATGTGAGGCAGTTGACTTAACAGCTCTGGGATCACACCCATTTAGAAATCCCATGATTCTAGTTTATCATCTAACAGCTCCAGTGACCTGCTTCCTCCAACCAGTCACCCTCCCCTCCCCCACTAGATCTCTACCACCTTGCTAAATAATCTATTCAGATTTTGAATCCATCAATGGATTCAGGGATGGAGAGATGGCTCAGCAGTAAGAGTGTCACTGTGTCATATTACTCTTGCAGAGGACCAGAGTTTGGTTCCCAGCACCCACATTGGGCAGTTCACAACCACCTATAATTCCAGTTCCAGGGGGTTTAATGCCCTCTTCTGGCCTCTGAAGTCACCTGCAGTCATGTGGTCATACCTATACATGCACATGCATATACAAATAATTAAAAATAAAAAAATAAAAAAAAAATATATATATATATTTTTTTGTCTTTTTGAGACAGGGTCTCCCTCTAGCCCCAGCTCCCAGCTGGCCTGGAACTCACTTGTATACCAGGCCTGTTTCAGTCACACAGAGATCTGCCTGCCTCTGCCTCCCAAGTGCTGGGATTAGCCCCAAGTCCCTGTCACCCTCCTGGGTCAGAAGCCTCAGCACTTCCTTCAGGGAGGAGAGACACAAGCTGGTCTGGAATTTCCCTTTACTGACTGAACACTCTTCTGAGCACTGGTGATGAGACACCTTTTTTTTCCCTTTTGGTTTTTTGATGTCTTCTGTAACCCGGGCTAGCCTTGAATTCACTATTGTAGCTGAGGATGACCTTGAAGTCCTGATCCTCCTGCCTCTGCCTCCTGAGTGCTGGGATTACATGTATGTGCCACCATGACCAAAAAATTAAAAAAAAAAAAAAACTAAAAAGTGGTGGAGGGACCCAGGCATGGTGGTATATCCCTTTAATCCCAGCACTCGGGATGCGGAGGCAGGTAGATCTCCATAAGACTGAGGCCAGCCTGGTGTACATGGTGAGTTCCAGGTGGCTAGAACTAGGGTGATCCTGTCAACAAAACAAAACAAAACAAAAAAGTGGTGGAGGGAGCCAGGCATGGTGGCATAGCTCTTTAATTCCAGCACTTGGGAAGCAGAGCTAGGCGAGCTCTGTTTAGACTGAGACCAGCCTGGTCTATATAGTGAGTTCCAGATCAGCTGGGGCTACAGGAAGACCGTCTCAGAAAAAATGAAAACAAAACCAAAAACCGTGGTAGAGGTAGGGCTGGAGAGGTGGGTCAAGTTATGAGCAGTTGCTCTTCCAGAGGGCCGGAGTCCAGTTCCCAACACTTATATTGGGAAGCTTATAACCCCAGCTCCAGGGGATGCAGCACCCTCTTCTGGTTTCCATGGGCACCCGCATACTTGGGAGACACACACACACACACACACACACACACACACATATGAACAAAACCAAAAGCAAACAAAAAGTAACCACTGATCTAATCAGAGCCCTCACAGACAGGCCCAGAGATGGGCCTTACCAGTCTCCTAGGTGGCTGTCAATCCACTCAAGTTCACAGTCATGAGTAACCATCCCAGGGCTAGAGAGATGACTCAGCAGTTAAGAGCACTGGCTGCTCTTGCAGAGGACCCAGGTTCAGCACTCATAATTGTCCATAACTCCAGTTCCAGGGGATCCAATATCCTCTTCTGGCCTCTGTGGGCATTGCACAACATGGGTGCAACTTACATAAATGCAGACAAGACACTCGTATACATAAATAAAAATTATCTAAAAAAAGATTAATCCTCACAACAGATCTTGTGATGTCCTCCTCTAAGGCTTTGCATGGCTCCCCATTGTCCACTGAAGGAAAACCAGGCTTCACCTGGCAACAGGAGTCCACCAGCTGAGACCCTACCTTCAGGCCTTCACTACCTCCACTGTTGCCCACACATTCTTCCTCAATTTCCTGTCACCAAGGCTTTGTCCATGAGCCGTGACTCCTCACGATACCCTTCAGTTTGACCTGAGTGACCATGCTTCTTGTGGGTTTGGTGCTGGGATAGAGGCCATGTCTGTGCTCACAGTACCCCCAGATCCTCTCCTAGGTCTCCATGCCTCCTCTCTCTGGTGCCTGGCCTTCTGGGCCTTGCACTTGACTTCTGGCCTCAGCATCTTTCACAGGCTTCCAGACCCCCTTCTGGATCAGGGCCACCCTAGCATCTCCTGAGGTTTGACTTCCAGAGGTCAAACATATACACCCCTAGATACATCTTGCTTCTGCACATTGGCTCCTCCCCCTGCTCCAACTGCCTGCCCCATTCCCAGACTTGACACCTGTGCAGCCTCCTCTGTGAAGAAGTCTCACGTTTCTTCCAGTCCCTCCTTGAGTCCCTCCTTCAGTACTTTTTGGCACCGTATTGAGTGGTACTTTTGTATGCAGCCCTCCCTCTGCCCTGCCTGCACCCCACTGCCTAGCACCATACAGGTGGTCAGCTGGTATTGGCTGGGTTGAGGGGAGGCCCTGACTAAGCCAGCTTTCCTGACCTCCAGCTTCTTCTCTTCATCTAATCCACACCTGATGCTTGCCACCAGCTGCTTCCAACCTGCTGAGGCCACAGCTCAAGCATCTTGTCAGACCTTCACCCCACCCCCTCTTGCTGGTGACGGACCTTGCACAGAGCCCCAGCCATGGATCAGAGCCCTCAGATATAGGAATGACTTCTGGACTATGGACTTTTACTCAACCTTGAACCCAAAGCCACTGTTTATAATCTTAACAAGCTCACTGAACCATGTGCTCTTGTCACCTGGACACTTGACCTTGGTCCTTCAGGATGCCACTTTGCCCTTCACCCATGATAGTGAATGAATGTAGGTGTACTTGAATTAGCATTTCAAAGCACTTTCATATTTCTGTCCTCATTAAAAACAGTGAAAACTGAACCGGGTGTGGTGGCACACACCTTTAATTCCAGCACTCTGGAGGCAGAGGCAGGCAGATCGCTGTGAGTTCAAGGCCAGCCTGGTCTACATAGTGAGTTCCAGGACAGCTGGAGCTACAGGGAGACCCTGTCTCAAAAAAAAAAAAAAACAGTGAAAATTGAGAAGAATGCTTAACTGTGTTGTATGATATATTTTAGGCCTAGGGATTGAGATTCTCCGATAAGGGTGCATTCCAACTTGTAATTCCCCAATTGATGCTGGAGAAATGTTTTAGAATAAAAGTATGGGTGAGGCCTGGGTCGGGAACGTAGTTCTCTGAGCCATCTGAAGGGATGAACTCTGAGTTCAGGTCAGTTCTTGGTTATTAAAACTTAATGCTTAGAGTCAGACTGTTTATTCAGGTACAACTGTAATGTGTTTAGGAATGCTACATATGAGCGGTGTTGGAGGAAAGGGAGCAATTCTCAGCTCTGGCTCTTCCCTCTCCGCTGTAGCCTCAGGCTCTTCCTGACTCCAGGGCACAGGAAATACCTCTTCCCAGCTGGTGACAGGTAACTGGAGGCTAGTCTACTGCAGGTTGGAGGAGGAGCCATTGCTTGGTGTTCTGCCTCCTCTGGGACCTGCCAGTTCCTCTCCCCTTTCATCAAGGTCACTTGCTTAGATTAAGCAGAGTAAACCGGGTATGGTGGCGCAAGCCTTTAATCCCAGCATTTGGGAGGCAGAGCCAGGCGGATCTCTGTGAGTTCAAGGCCAACCTGGTCTACATAGTGAGTTCCAGGACAGCTGGGGCTATAGGGAGACCCTGTCTCAAAAAGACAGAAAAACAAACAAACAAACAAAAAAAAGCAGAGTGTTGCTTTTGGGCCCACTCCTTTAATTCCAGCACTCAGGAGGCAGAGGCAGGCCGAGACCCTGTCTCAAAAAAAAAAAAAAAAAAAAAAAGAAGCAGAGGATCTCAGCATCCATGTCCCCCCAAGTCCTGTGCCTCCCTCATGGGGATCAGGGGGTGTGGCCTGGGAGGAGGGGGGCACAACCCAGGAGCCTCATCGCTTCAGTCTCAGGGGATCTGGACTTTCCATGGGTCCTCAGCACTCTCAGTTGTAAACCTACCTTGCAGATGTGAGGACTAGAGTCTCCTTCAGCTTCTAGGGAGTGAGATACACCATCTTCTAAGTGTTATTATTAATCAGATAAAATCTCTGGGCGGTAAGAGATTTATCCTCAGCCATGCTATTCCTGGAGGTGGGCGGAGTCCTCGGTGTTGGCTGATGATGCTCTGTCTGGAACATCCCGCAGTCTACCCTGGCCATGGAGGTCCTTCTGTCTTCCTCATAGTCATTCATTGCTGAGTGGGACATGGGGGTCCTTATCGGAGGGGGTGACCTGCCACATCCTGTCACCCACAGGACAGAAAGAACCTCTTCCCTCTTGTGGGAATGCGCCTCACTCTCCACATTCCCTGTGCCATATGTGTACAGAGGCCCTGAGGGGGAGATGCTGCTTTAGTTCCGCTCTTTGATAACATGCATGGGCCTGAAGTCTCTGTTATACAGTTGTCATCCTGTCTACCCATTAGCCTATGGAGCAAAGGAGGGGTGGGGGCCGTTTCCCATTTGCATGTGCTGGGGGTGGGTCTGTGTAATTCATTGCTCAACCACTGACAAAAATACATGTGTATTTTATCAATGTGTTTGCCTTTAAAATAATACATGAGCCGGGTGTGGTGGCGCACGCCTTTAATCCCAGCACTCGGGAGGCAGAGGCAGGCAGATCTCTGTGAGTTCAAGGCCAGCCTGGTCTACATAGTGAGTTCCAGGACAGCTGGGGCTACAGGGAGACCCTGTCTCAAAAAGACCAAGAAAAAAAAATAATAATACATGAGTCAGATGAAGCAGGGATTGTTATGTTGTCACTGGAGAGAAAAGGATGCAAAGAGTAGTTGAGTGATCTGCCTGGGGTCACACAGCAGCCAAAGAGGGGTAGGAGCCCTTCTCACCCTGTCTGTGGAGAAGGGGCAGAGACAACAAGGCCAGTGGGACATGAGTCTGAGAAAATTGACAGCTTCCAGGGGACAGGCTGGGGAACTGAGCTTGAGGTTTAGGCCAACAGGGAACTGTCAGTAAATAAACCAAGTAAGTATGAAGTGATAATAAAAGAGGAAAAAATAGATTCATACTGTCTGTTGAAAAAAAAAAAAAAACCCGAAAACCAGTGGGTAATTACTGGCAGCCAGCATAGTACGTGCCAGGCAGTGTGCTAACCCTATGGCTCACCGGGTCTCTGGTGCCATAGCTGTTACTGTCTCCCCTTTAGGTCCATAACTGTTACCTCCCCACTTTCATAGGCCTAAAGTACTGAAGTCACATGGCAAAGATCATCTAGAGTGACCCTGGAATTGGTCCAATAATCTGACTGGGAGGCCAAGCTTATGTTGATGAACTGGAATAATAACGCTTAATAGAGCAGAGATTAACTACCTGCCATGCTCGGTGCTCATCCACCAAGAAGCCGATGTCAAGATGAGATTAAAGATTTGGGCATTTACAACAAGCATCCATGAGAGGGGATGGGGACAGGGCTGGGGCCAGCAGGATGCCTCAGCCACTAAAGGTGCCTGCTGTATCTTCTAGTTTCATCCCTTTACCATGATAAAACACCCTAACCAAAAGCAATGTCAGGAGGAAAGGTATATTTGGCTTACAGGTCCAGGTTGCAGTCCATTGTTGAGGGAAGTCAGGACAGGAATTCAAGGCAGGAGCTTGAAATGGAACCTAGTGGAATGCTGCTTGGGATCACGGCTGGCTTGCTCTCTTAAACAACCCAAGCCCACTTACCTAGGGATGGTGCGGCCCACAGTGGACTGGACCCTCCCAAGTCAATTAACAGTCAAGGCGAGCCTTCCCAGACATGGCCACAAGCCAATCTGATCTGGAAAGTTCCTCCTCACTTGAGGCTCCGTCCTCAGGTTTAGCGAGTTGATAGGACATTAGGTAACCCTGATGACGTGAGTTCAGTTCCCAGGACCCATGGTGGAAGGAGAGAACTGACTATTGAAATTTGTTCTCTGACCTTTGCACGTGCACTGTGACACACACAAACCTGCACTCACACATCACACACACACACACACACACACACACACGCACACACACACACACCGATGATAAATAATAGAGAGGGGACAGAGGCTGGAAGAGACAGGCAGGTTTGATGGAGCATCGCTGGCCTTTGTGGGCTTGCAGGGACTTGAGCCCCAGGGTGTCCTGGAGTGAGCCTCCTATCAGAATGGACTTTCCGCTGTTCCTGTCACCCATGGGGGCAGGGCCTCCGAGCAAAGGGCAGACAAAGCAGAGTGGCTGACTCCTGTTGAGCCTCAGCTGGGTGGGGGCCTCACCGGCTTCTAAGAGCAGATCTGAAGGTGTCAGTGCACAGCCACACACACTGGGATGGGCACTGCCTGCACGTCCTCATCTCCTCATGAGTAAAACCCTGAGAGTCCGATGTACTCACGGTCACACTACAGAATGGGAAAGGCAAGGAGCGAGTTAGGCTATCTGAGTTTGAAGCTACACACAGCACAGTGGTCAAGGGCAGGACTAACCTTCAAAGCTCCCCGCCTCCTCAAAGCGAAGAGGGGCTGTGGGACCTTGAGCTGAACCCCAGCTCCTAGGGCCAGGCCACACTGTCCGTGCCCATTGGCATTACGTCTGACCCTGGGGAACTGGCTTTTGTGTCCTCAGAAAATCTGCCAGTTGGAGCCTGAGGGGCGTGTGAAGGTGGAGCTGGTCCTGCGGGCAGCCGAGGCCCTCCTGTCTAGCTGCCATGAGGGCCAGAAGCCTGAGATCCTGACCCGACTGAGGGACATCAAGGCCCAATGGGAAGAGACCGTCACCTACATGACTCACTGCCACAGGTAGGGCAGCAGCTCAGGGGACCTCGCTGGGCCCGTGTCCTCGGATGCTGGTGACTCTCCTTGCCTACCACCATGCTGTTCTGGGACCCCTGCCTGAGCAGCACCTTTTCAGGCTGAGGTTTCCTTTTGGGATTCAGGCCAGTGCGTCTTTCTAATTACACTCAAATATAATGACAGTGGACACAGGAAGCCATCCTGTGTTCCAGCAGCTCTAATAGGCTGTTTACGTGGTGTCTTCTCCAGTAGGACAACAGAAGGGCTCAGGCATAAGATGGCCTGGCCCCGGGGAGATGACTCAGTGGACAAAGCACTTGCTGTACAAGCTTGAGGACCTGAGTTCAGATCCCTAGAACCAATGGAAAGCTGGGTGCATATATTAGCTACTTTTCTGTTGCTGTGATAAACACCATGGCTGAAGCAACTTACAGAAGGAAGAGTTTATTTGGCTTATGGCTCCAGAGGGAGAAGAGTCCTTCGTGGTGGGGAGGTGTGCAGCAGAGGCGGTGGGGCAGAAAGCTGAGCTGTCACATCTTCAAGCAGGCACAGGAAGCAGAGAAAGCCCACCTCCAATGACACGCTTCCTCCAGCAAGGCCACACCTCCTGCAGGTTCCATGACTCTCCCCCAAACAGTAGCGCCAACTGACTAAGTGTTCACATTGGGGGCCATTTCTCACTCAAACCATCACACCGTGTTCGTGCTTGTCTATAATCCCAGGGCCCCTGTGGCAAGATGGGAGGGGAAGACTGGAGATTTCTTGGAAGTTTGCAACTAGTCTGGTGTATGCCGTGATAACCAAGAAACCCAAACAAGGTGGAAGGCAAGAACCAGCCCTCCAGGTTGTCCTCAAACTCCATATCCACACCTTGGCAGGTGCATGCACGCACACAGTAGGTGTACAAGAAGAAGGTTTGCAGCACTTTAGCCAGAATGCTGGCCTAGACCAGGGAGTCAGGTTAGGGGAGGGACTGCAGTGGAGACCTGTGCACACCCAGATGGCATTGATTCTTGCCCAACTGGTTTCTTCCTGTGTGGCCTTGTAAAGGTTCCTTGACTTCTCTAAGCCTCGGGCACTTCCTCTGGTGGATGGGCAATCCAGTGTTCTTAATGGAAGGAGACAGAGAAATTCAGGAATAAAGCCCTGTGCTTGGCACATGGCGACCCTTGGGAGGCAGGAGCTGAGGATCCTCTCCACATTCATAAAACAAGAACATGGTGGAGGAGGATTTCTCCACAGAGCCTTCGGCTTTTCTTTTTTTCTTTGGTGTTTTTTGAGACAGGGTCTCCCTATAGCCCCAGCTGGCCTGGAACTCGCTATGTAGACCAGGCTGGCCTCGAACTCACAGAGATCCTCCTGTCTCTGCTTCCCAAGTGCCGAGATTAAAGGCGTGCGCCACCACACCTGGCAGCTTTCTGCTTTTCAAACTCTTCCTCCTAATGTTGGCTGGAGAAATAAAACCTTCTCCATGTTAGAAATGAGGATACTGAGGCAGGTGAATGGGGCACAGCTACCCTGAGAGTTTATAGAACCCCGGAACCGAACCTTCACACAGGCCCCCAGTCTGTCTGCACCAGGTGGCCACTAACTGGCCTGTAGAGGCAGCTGTGCTCTGCCCAACAACAGACAATCTCCTGACTGCTTTCTGGCAGCAAGTGCTAAGAGCACCATCTGATAGATAAAAAGTAGCCATATGATGAATAGGGTTGATCAGGAGAAAGCAGAGTTTATTAGCACAGGAACACATGGGACAGATTCCCTTCCAGGCAGGGAAAATGTCTGCCCTGGGTCGTGAGCTGGGGTCTTTTAAGGGGAGAGGCTTCTGCTTCCTGCAGAAGGTGGGAAGATGTATATATTTTTTTAAGGTTGAGTGGGGGGAAGTGGGAGAGCAGGACTGTTAAAACCTGTCCTCTTTAGAGATCAAAGGGGAAGCCTGCTGTGTTGGCCAAACAGTGGAGAAAAGTCTGCTTCTCTTGACTTCAAAGACCAAGGTGCTTATCAGCTCTGTTCCTTTTCTCAGGAGCATGAGAAGCCCTTGAGACCCTGTTGGTGAGGGGGCAGGGCTATCTGAACATTAACAATGGGCAGAGTAGGGGGTCTGTGCACTGGCAGTGGTAGTTCAGAGCCAGGATGCCGGGTACTGGTGACTTGGGGCCATTGGAACTGTATCTCCCCAGCAGATGGCTGAGGAGGAATCTGAGGCTTGACCTCACCTGGGAGGTTACTTGTAGAACATGAGGTCTCATCTTGTAGGTGAGGAGTCTGACACCTGGAATTCAAGTCAGTTGTTCTCATGACTCCAGGCAGAGAGGGCATCATCATGTCCCCATCACACAGCCACCAGTATCTGGGAGGGGACAGTGGCAAAGTCTCTCTGCCCAGGAGCCAGGGGGCAGGCATCTGATGGCCCCATGGTCTCTGTGCCCACAGCCGCATCGAGTGGGTGTGGCTCCACTGGAGTGAGTACCTGATGGCCCGGGATGAGTTTTACCGCTGGTTCCAGAAGATGGTGGTGACTCTGGAGCCCCCAGTGGAGCTGCAGCTGGGCTTGAAGGAGAAGCAGTGGCAGCTGAGCCATGCCCAGGTGTTGCTGCACAGCGTGGACAACCAGGAGGTGCTCCTGGACCGGCTGCTGGAGGAGGCGGGCTCCCTGTTCAACAGGATTGGGGACCCCAGTGTGGACGAAGATGCCCAGAAGAGGATGAAGGCCGAGTACAATGCTGTGAAGGCCAGAGCCCAGGTGAGGCGTGGGGAAATCTATCATCTACTCACATCTCCACCCCATCTGCCATCCAGCCCCTCCTTCTGCCCACTCACAATCCTTTCACCAGCCACCCACCATCTGTCCATCTACCCACCCACTTTCCAGCCTCCCTCCTTGCCCATCTGTCCCCTCTTCCACCTGCTTCCCCCCATACTACTGAAGGCCTCCCCTTTGCTCCCCAAACATTTACCTCCCCAAACATCTGTCTACCCATTCTTCTAGCTCTCCTGTCCATCTAGTCATTCACTCATCGGCCTTCCTCCCCTCAGCTACCCAATCCCCTATTTATCTCTCCAACCACTTAGTGGTCCACCCACCCATCTGCCCATCCACCCATCAGGTCCTCCCCTCATGCAGTTATCACTCCACCATCTGTCCCCATGCCCTCCACTCTCTCATTATTGACTATCCATCGTCACCCACCTGTTCATCCATCCACCTTTCATCCACCCATCCACCTGTCCTTCCAACCATCACACCCACCCATTATCCATACCCCCAGAGTTTCTCAGGACTCAGTATATATGTGGAAGCTTAATATAGGTGCACCAGCTATTGGACCATCCTATTCATTTCCCACA